AGGTTAAGGAAGAGGTCATGGGATCCTCAAGTCTCTTACATAGAAGGCTGCATCTGATAAGATGCTGTGGATAAATAGGAAAGACATGTAAAAATTTGTCAGGAATAAAGCAGCAGTGTGTTCCTTTTGGCATAATAATGCTATTTGCCATTGCTATGAAATTCTAAGCTTCACCTTCCCTCCCAGAAAATGCTAACTTTCTTAGCATAAGGTACTCATGTAGATGAAGTCCTGGAGTCAGAATAGGCAGGTAGGTCAGGTTAGGACACTTAGTAGTCTTTTCTCTGCCACTCACTAGGGTAGATGATCTTGAACAGGATACTAAATGTCTCTGTTGTCTGTATCTATAAGGTGAGGATGATAAAACATATCTGCCTTCCTTACTTTAGGAGGCCATTATGATTGTCAAAAAAAATACTAATCAAAGCACTCTGAAAAACAGAGTTTTACATGAAAGGTATAATTAAAGCTCTTCTATTCAAGGACAGTAAAGCTCATTCTGGCTTAATAAGGTCTTATCAAAGCCTCAAGACAAAATAAACTGCTTTCTGAAATTAGTTTGAAATAAAATCCCAACATATCACTCATTCATTCACTGTACAATGATTAAATATCCACTGACTGAGGTTCTTAGCTTTCAGAACCTCACAGACCAGAGGAAGGATAGACTTGTGAAGAGATAATTATGAAATAACAGAGAAATTAACAAAGCGTTCTTGGGGCAGAGGGAGAAATGGCCAACTCAGCCTAGAGGCATCAGAGACCATTTTCCTGCAGGACGACATATGAGTTGATTACAAGGGCTAAGGAGGAGATTGCTATCCCACCATACTCTTCTTTATTCAACTCTACATTCTTTCCTAACCTGTGATTTTAATAGTCAACAACCATAAGGTTAAAGGTCTCTACGTATAATATTCCTATGTTCCTATGTATAGTGATGTAAATAACCAGGAATTTTTTCTAGGATGCGAAACTTTCTCTATATGTGTTTTGGTTCTCATTTGGTTCCCAAAACAGGCAAATGTCTATTTCAATCACTTTATTAATAGCATAAGTCCTAGAATTTGATAATCCAGTTGCTCTCTATCCAGAGGCAATCATCCTGTACTGAGAAAATCTGCTAGCTCAATCTTTCCCCAATGTCTAAGAGAGACACGGCCTGGTCTTGGCATTATCAACTGAGCAATTCAGGAAAATTTTGCCCTGAATTATTATTCACATTGTCCTTATATTCCGAATAACTGAATTGCTCGATTGCTTTCTCCCTTTCATATATAAAACTGAATGATTTCAGTATTAATGCACTAGATGTCAATATGCTATCACTTCTTTTTCCCTCAAAAACATAATTCAGTTCCCTGTGATCCAGACTCAGCTATTCTCCCTAAACTTATGGCTTTCAAGTCCCCTAAGTACACTTCTATATGAAGCACAGCAACCCAAAGGACTGGCATTAAAGCTGTCCCAGAACCATCACACTAAGTGGACACTGGTGCAAGTCACAGAGAGGATGCCAGAGTTAAGTAAACTTCTAATGTTTAACATGGTTCCCAGGATACTGCTATGGTGTTAATCATTAACATCTGGAATTAAATCTATAAGCTCAATATCTTGGCATCCCAACTCTGTGCAGAAGCCCCAGGACCTCCCCTCACTCAGGTGTGGAGCACAGACACATAGTGGGTCTCTCGCCAGCTCAGGCACCTGTCGCATGAATAACTAAGTCATCAGCTCTAACACCACTTACCTTTAAGTCTGGCATTCTTATCCACCCAGTCACCAATGATGGCTCCTAGGAGCAGAACAGACCCTGCCACGACCAGCCCATAGACTGCAGTCAAGAGGAGGCTGTTTCCATAGAGCTCTACCAGGAACACAGACACTGCAAAGTGCCACATCCGATCACCCTAAATTAGAAGAAAAGAGAAAATGTTTCAATGAAATATTTTTAGTTTCTAGTCAGTTATACTCAGGAAGTTGCTTCCTTATCAAAAGCTTCCAGTTACATCATGAAATTTTCAAAGTCAACAATTCCTCTATGGAATGAATACTGGTCAGGTGTTAAAACTGTTCATCCTGGCACAATGATATTAATGAAAAGCACGTATGCCTTATCATTCTAGAAAACAAATTATTCACACTTTCCAGACCCAACAGGGTTTTTTGCGACAAAACCTCTTCTCTTTTGTGTCAGGTTTCTACCTGGGCCTGGAACTGACCTATCCTGATTTTAGAAGCTTTGAGTAGTTTGCTACTGAACCGGAATGAAACTACTGGATTGTTCATAAACATTAGTATGCCTTGAATGTCAAGAAAAAGCCAGTTTCCCAATTTGTAAAATGATAAAACTGGATGATATGATCTCTAACATTTCTCTTACCCCTAACAATCTACAGTATATTTCACAAATAAATTTCAACATCATAAAACAGTAAGGCAATCAGAAAGATGGAATTAAAATGGGCAAATTCAGGCACTACAAGAATGAAGATGTCAAAAATAAATGCATAGGCATGTAGTTTTTTTAATATTTTAATACTGATGGATTTTGAAAATGGACAAAACTACTTATTTATTCACTTCAGAGTACATAAGGAATTTGGAATTCATTACTGCAAAGTGTGAGATAACAGACTTTTAAATAAGTTGGGTAAATTGATGTGTAATAAGTTTATAATGGCCTATATTATAAGATTTTAGGCTCCATCTCTGACTTCTGTGTTAACATAATATAGGACAACAATATTTTATCATAACTCATCCCTGGAAATCACTGTAGGAAGCTAAATTCCCATGCAAAATAAGAACACACACACACACACACGGGCAGCCAACCCTGTCCAGTCTCTTGCTAGGGTTTCTAACAATTTTTGGCAACAACCTCAAAAATCAGCTTACATAAATAAAAACCACTCTTGACTGTAGTAGGTGCATCAGCGTATAGTGACCCAGCCTTGGAGATGCCCAAGGCAGCAGCCAGAGTCCCCTCAATGTGTACTTTTTCACTTCCCTCTTCTATTTTTCCTTTAGCCGCCTCCTTTTTGTCTGTTCAGTAAGTCTGCCTTATTGAAAAAATGGAACCAAAAATCCATGGTTAGCCCTTTATTGACCCTCAGAACTAAAGAATTTTCTATATCCTGTTTGGAAGCAGGGTTTTTAATTTTTTAACAATGCTGACATCAAAACTTGAGGAGAGACAGTATGAATATTTTCCTTCATGAGGCTGCTGGCTGATGTGAAAGAGCACCATGTACTAAAAGCTAACTCACAGAGGACAAGAGTTCAGCAGGCAGCTTACTTCCTTTCTTAAACTTGAGAAACTTCAGAAAGTTAGTAAATAGACTGGTTGGCCTAGATTCTTCTGCTTTGCAATAATTCCAAATATAAGAAAAGACAGAGAGAAGTGGCCAGTCATATTTCTGTTGTTCTGGGACATCACTTTATAGTCAGAAAGATCCCACAAAGTTATATGCATCTTTGTTTTATTATTTATTTAAGTATGTATTTAGACCAAATTAAAGACTTCTTTTTACAGACTGTGCAGACTTCAGAGTCAAAATGAGTTAAGAAATTCATATAAGAAAAAATAATTTTAAAATCCAACTTTCCCCAAAATATATGCCAACAGATATAATATGTAATCTATTTTCAAAACATATTCTTTTGTACCCTTTGAATTTTAAACATGGACACGTACTACCTACTCAAAATAGTACCTTTAGAAAAGAAAGGAACTAAACACAAAAAAAGGACAAAGCCTTATCTTATAGTTCAATGTGATAGAAAAGAAATAGGGAATTATTTCCTATTAGTAAATGATCCAGGAAGAAAAATCAGTAAGAATCACTATTGAGCACCAGAGAGAATTTCCTGCAGTAGATTCCTAAGTGCTAAATTTACCATATGCATATACCATCCTCTCAAATCCCTGTGATATTTCTGTCTCAATTATAATTCTGCTACCACAAAGTGATGACTTCAGCAAATTCTTTTCTTTCAGACCTTCCACAGATTTTGTTCTCTTTCTCTAACTACCGACTTTCTGTCTTTTTTTTTCAACCACACGGTCCAGTCAAAGTTGCTTGCTGACCCCAGCACCTAATCTTGCTTCCTGTGTCATGGGATAAGCCATTAAAGTCATCAAGAATGGTTTTCTTGTCTGTCAGGATGGTTGGGCAATGTGTTTGTGATACCCATTATCTCAATGACCAGCAGAGCTGATTCAGCTTCTCTAATGTGTAGATAGGTGTACCCTTCCTCCTTTAGCCCATGTAATTATCAATCCAGTTTGTGTCTGTGTAAGGGAGGGCAGGGAATACTGAGTGAGTAGGGTATTCTGAGCCCAAATATCATTGATGCAATAGGACATGTTGCCTTATAAGCATTCTTCAGTCTTTTTTGGGCCTCTTGTATGTTTCCAATGGACAACCAAGATTGTAAGCTTCTTTAAAACCATATTCTGCCCTCTCACTCTTTAGTATTTGTAAGAGCAATTATATTACATCATATGTAATGTAGTAAAAGTTATAGATTATAATTTCAAAGTTTAAGGAATTGACTTCTAGAGTCTCTCCTAGAATTAAGTTGTTTCTATTTGGTTTGGAGAAGAATAATATCTATAGCATGACCACTAAGTACTGGTAATAATATCCACAGTATGACTGATAAAATCCTGTGTCAGACACTCACTGTCCCAAGTGTTAAGTAAATATTTAGAAACCATGAACAGAATTTAAAAGAAAGAGCTCAAAAGAAATGTTCTTCCATTTGCCAGGTTTCCATAGAATAAAAAAGAAGTACATTATCCTATGAATTCACTCCCTAACAGTGAGATTACTCTGCACTGAGATTGATAATGTGGTAAGAAAAAGACTATGCTTTCAATTTAGTCTTCTTAAAAAAAATACCCAGAAAAAAAAAAAGGCTTGAGCCTCATTTATTAGCACTGATTTGAAGTGAATCCTAATATACTAGACGAAAGAAGAAAAACAGATCACCTGCTAATTTGCTTCTGTCTTCTCCTGCAACGACAACAATCCAGTCCCTTTGGATAGTGATTGTAGTGGCGGTACTGGCCAAATTTGCAATATTTGCAATAGTGATGATCAAGATATAGCAGGAAGTCTGAGGAATTACAGGGGACAATTTAATTAAAATTTCAGTTTACCACACTTCCCCTACCTCACTGTACAATGCAGTTTAAAATGGTCTTTGCCGTCATAATAATAAAATTTGTATTCTGCTTTCATTTCATAAAACCAAAAGAAATCATTTTACTTTGTAGACTTGAAACAATACCAGTAGTCAGGTCAAAGAGCATAATACCTTCCTAATCTATATCATCTGTAGTACACATAATACAAAAATTATAATAGTTATATGCATATTCATATGGCAGAGCTCATAAAGTGTTAACACAGGGGTAGTTTTTACTTTCCCCTACAAGTATCTCCCCTTCAGGAAAAAAATTAAAGTAGGACCAAGAACACTTGTATTTAAGTCAGAGTTCTGACAACTTTTTAGTTGCACGATAATGGACAATCCACTAACATTACTGTGCCTTGGGTTTTTTCATCAACAAAATGAAGGGAATAGACTAGAAGATTTCTAATGTTCTACCTGCCTTTGAAACTCTACAATATCAATCCAAATATATAAAAGAAGATTCAATAGTGACATCAAATCCATTGTGTTCTACCACACCCCATCTCTCTCCTCTTTTCCATCAAGCTATCATAAAATCATAGTGTGACAAGTTACTTAGTCCATGTCCCCAAACAAAAATACCAATTATTATTGGAGAAACACAGCATGACTAATTTACATATATATAGACAACATTTCTTATATGGTGTGAACAAATTACAGGTTAATTCTAACAAGCTGAAACTAACAAACAACAGGACTATATAATAAACTCTTAGAAATGCCATAAAAAAATAGGAAATAAACCAATAGGATGGAACTTACAAACAAAAGTTAATGAGAGCCTGTTGGGGGCAAAAAAAACAAGAACAAAACATAACAAAAATTGTAGGGGATATTACAGTAGACACAGAGATCAATATTAAAAGGTCCCATTTGCAAAAAAACACTCTCTAGCCTCAAAAGGTTTTCATCTCTTTTACCATGACCAGATGTGCAAATTTCTGCCATCAAGAATATCATTGAGAACTTACAAGAACCCATCCATGGTAAAGGGTCAGAAGATCATTTTTATGCAAGAAAACCATCATCAAGATGATGCCACACAGGATGACAGAAACATTCTGTACCACCAGTGAAGTCCGGGCCACTGTTGGAGGGAGGAACAAAGTGTTCACTATACAAAACATCTCGGTGGAGCTGCTTTTAACCACACAACCTTGTTCTACTACACCAGCATATCTGCAAATTACTTTAAGAAAAAAACACTCCTGAAGTAAATCCTGAATCAACAATTTCCAGTAGGATCCAGCAGGTCACACAAGACCAGTAAAACTTGCAGACAGAATGATGAAATACCCACCGTTTTTTCTCTGTTAGTTGAAGCCTTTCATAATGGCCATATTTTCATTTAGTTTATTCTCTCGAAAGTTTGCCATCATAAACAGAACTATATTACACAGACTAGATCCATCTCTCTGCTCTTTTGTTACTTAAGCTAAAATAAGAACATGTAGTAGGTAATGGAGGAGGTTAAGGAAGAGGTCATGGGATCCTCAAGTCTCTTACATAGAAGGCTGCATCTGATAAGATGCTGTGGATAAATAGGAAAGACATGTAAAAATTTGTCAGGAATAAAGCAGCAGTGTGTTCCTTTTGGCATAATAATGCTATTTGCCATTGCTATGAAATTCTAAGCTTCACCTTCCCTCCCAGAAAATGCTAACTTTCTTAGCATAAGGTACTCATGTAGATGAAGTCCTGGAGTCAGAATAGGCAGGTAGGTCAGGTTAGGACACTTAGTAGTCTTTTCTCTGCCACTCACTAGGGTAGATGATCTTGAACAGGATACTAAATGTCTCTGTTGTCTGTATCTATAAGGTGAGGATGATAAAACATATCTGCCTTCCTTACTTTAGGAGGCCATTATGATTGTCAAAAAAAATACTAATCAAAGCACTCTGAAAAACAGAGTTTTACATGAAAGGTATAATTAAAGCTCTTCTATTCAAGGACAGTAAAGCTCATTCTGGCTTAATAAGGTCTTATCAAAGCCTCAAGACAAAATAAACTGCTTTCTGAAATTAGTTTGAAATAAAATCCCAACATATCACTCATTCATTCACTGTACAATGATTAAATATCCACTGACTGAGGTTCTTAGCTTTCAGAACCTCACAGACCAGAGGAAGGATAGACTTGTGAAGAGATAATTATGAAATAACAGAGAAATTAACAAAGCGTTCTTGGGGCAGAGGGAGAAATGGCCAACTCAGCCTAGAGGCATCAGAGACCATTTTCCTGCAGGACGACATATGAGTTGATTACAAGGGCTAAGGAGGAGATTGCTATCCCACCATACTCTTCTTTATTCAACTCTACATTCTTTCCTAACCTGTGATTTTAATAGTCAACAACCATAAGGTTAAAGGTCTCTACGTATAATATTCCTATGTTCCTATGTATAGTGATGTAAATAACCAGGAATTTTTTCTAGGATGCGAAACTTTCTCTATATGTGTTTTGGTTCTCATTTGGTTCCCAAAACAGGCAAATGTCTATTTCAATCACTTTATTAATAGCATAAGTCCTAGAATTTGATAATCCAGTTGCTCTCTATCCAGAGGCAATCATCCTGTACTGAGAAAATCTGCTAGCTCAATCTTTCCCCAATGTCTAAGAGAGACACGGCCTGGTCTTGGCATTATCAACTGAGCAATTCAGGAAAATTTTGCCCTGAATTATTATTCACATTGTCCTTATATTCCGAATAACTGAATTGCTCGATTGCTTTCTCCCTTTCATATATAAAACTGAATGATTTCAGTATTAATGCACTAGATGTCAATATGCTATCACTTCTTTTTCCCTCAAAAACATAATTCAGTTCCCTGTGATCCAGACTCAGCTATTCTCCCTAAACTTATGGCTTTCAAGTCCCCTAAGTACACTTCTATATGAAGCACAGCAACCCAAAGGACTGGCATTAAAGCTGTCCCAGAACCATCACACTAAGTGGACACTGGTGCAAGTCACAGAGAGGATGCCAGAGTTAAGTAAACTTCTAATGTTTAACATGGTTCCCAGGATACTGCTATGGTGTTAATCATTAACATCTGGAATTAAATCTATAAGCTCAATATCTTGGCATCCCAACTCTGTGCAGAAGCCCCAGGACCTCCCCTCACTCAGGTGTGGAGCACAGACACATAGTGGGTCTCTCGCCAGCTCAGGCACCTGTCGCATGAATAACTAAGTCATCAGCTCTAACACCACTTACCTTTAAGTCTGGCATTCTTATCCACCCAGTCACCAATGATGGCTCCTAGGAGCAGAACAGACCCTGCCACGACCAGCCCATAGACTGCAGTCAAGAGGAGGCTGTTTCCATAGAGCTCTACCAGGAACACAGACACTGCAAAGTGCCACATCCGATCACCCTAAATTAGAAGAAAAGAGAAAATGTTTCAATGAAATATTTTTAGTTTCTAGTCAGTTATACTCAGGAAGTTGCTTCCTTATCAAAAGCTTCCAGTTACATCATGAAATTTTCAAAGTCAACAATTCCTCTATGGAATGAATACTGGTCAGGTGTTAAAACTGTTCATCCTGGCACAATGATATTAATGAAAAGCACGTATGCCTTATCATTCTAGAAAACAAATTATTCACACTTTCCAGACCCAACAGGGTTTTTTGCGACAAAACCTCTTCTCTTTTGTGTCAGGTTTCTACCTGGGCCTGGAACTGACCTATCCTGATTTTAGAAGCTTTGAGTAGTTTGCTACTGAACCGGAATGAAACTACTGGATTGTTCATAAACATTAGTATGCCTTGAATGTCAAGAAAAAGCCAGTTTCCCAATTTGTAAAATGATAAAACTGGATGATATGATCTCTAACATTTCTCTTACCCCTAACAATCTACAGTATATTTCACAAATAAATTTCAACATCATAAAACAGTAAGGCAATCAGAAAGATGGAATTAAAATGGGCAAATTCAGGCACTACAAGAATGAAGATGTCAAAAATAAATGCATAGGCATGTAGTTTTTTTAATATTTTAATACTGATGGATTTTGAAAATGGACAAAACTACTTATTTATTCACTTCAGAGTACATAAGGAATTTGGAATTCATTACTGCAAAGTGTGAGATAACAGACTTTTAAATAAGTTGGGTAAATTGATGTGTAATAAGTTTATAATGGCCTATATTATAAGATTTTAGGCTCCATCTCTGACTTCTGTGTTAACATAATATAGGACAACAATATTTTATCATAACTCATCCCTGGAAATCACTGTAGGAAGCTAAATTCCCATGCAAAATAAGCTCTTTCTGGATTTGACCCTATGTGGTCAATCCAGTAGGAGTACTATACTCCTAGTTCTTTCTAAGTCCCTTAACATCTTCTTGATAAATTTAATGTATCAGGAACAAAGTATTATTCTGCTTTGTCAAAGGACTTTTTAAAAAATTTATTAAAGCCAAGGCAACAATCTTCTACATTCAAAACTTACACTAATGCATGTATACAATAGCCATAATTTACAGTAAAATTCATGCAGACCAGTATTTCTCAAGTGAGGGTGATTTAACTTTCCAGGGATCATTTGACAATGCCTAGTGCTGTTTTGGGTTGTCACAACTGTGGGGCACTGGGGGTACTACTGGCATCTACGAAACATAGGAAAGTTCCCAACAACAAAGAATTATTCAGCCCAAGATGTCAATGTGCCAAGTAAAGAACTTTGGTATGGAAGATTATGAACATAATTTAAAACCACTATTCAAAATTAATATATGAAAAGGGCCTTGGTGAATGAAATGGATGTGGTCAAGTTAATATTAAAACAAACATTGAAAGCCATGGAAACACCATGTTTTAAAGACTGATTCTCACTTGATAGTCTGGAATATGAACTCCAGAACTTTCTGCATGCTTAACCTTCAGCACAGTGCTTGGCCTAGAGTAGATACACAATAAATAACTGGAATCAACAAAGGAGTGGACACGCAATGGGTCCCAGTTGTGAATGAATAAATATAGAATAAGTAGCAAAACCCTAGACTGATTTATTAAGTATATTGCTCTTGTACATTACATTTGATCCATGAATGCTCAAAAATCTTGAGGATTAATCAACAATATAATAAGTATTTCTGAGACAGCTTTTTTTTTAAGTTTGCTTTGATAATAGTTTTCTTACTTAAATAGAAATTGTTTAAGTTTTAAATGCCATTGTACTAAATGATTAAAAATGTATGATACCCAGAATAGCCAAAGTAATCCTGAGAAGGAAGAATAAAGCGGGAGGGTTTAAGCTCCCCAACTTTAAGCTCTGCTACAAAGCCACAGTAATCAAGACAATTTGGTACTGGCACAAGAACAGACCCATAGACCAATGGAACAGACTAGAGAGCCCAGATATAAACCCAAGCATATATGGTCAATTAATATGTGTTAAAGGAGCCATGGACATACATGGGGAAATGACAGCCTCTTCAATAACTGGTGTTGACAAAACTGGAGAGCTACATGCAAGAGAATGAAACTGGATTATTGTCTAACCCCATAAACAAAAGTAAACTCAAAATTCAAAGACTTGAATATAAGTCATGAAACCATAAAACTCTTAGAAGAAAACATAGGCAAAAATCTCTTAAATATAAACATGAGCAACTTTTTCCTAAATGCATCTTCTTGGGCAAGGGAAACAAAATAAAAAATGAACAAATGGGACTACATCAAGCTAAAAAGCTTCTGTACAGCAAAGGACACCATCAGCAGAAGAAAAAGGCATCCTACAGTATGGGAGAATATATTTGTAAATGACACATCCAACAAGGGGTTAACGTCCAAAATATATGAAGAACTCACATGCCTCAACACCCAGAAAGCAAATAACCCTATTAAAAAATGGGCGGAGGATATGAACAGATACTTCTCCAAAGAAAAAATTCAGATGGCCAACAGGCACATGAAAAGATGCTCCAGATCGCTAATTATCAGGGAAATGCAAATTAAAACCACAATGAGATATCACCTCACACCAGTTAGGTTGGCCAACACAGAAAAGACTAGGAACAACAAATGCTGGCGAGGCTGCAGAGAAAGGGCAACCCTCATACACTGGTGGTGGGAATGTAAATTAGTTCAACCATTGTGGAAAGCAGTATGGAGGTTCCTCAAAAGACTACAAATAGAAATAACATTTGACCTGGGAATTCCACTCCTAGGGATTTCCTCTAAGAATGCAGTATCCCTGTTTCAAAAAGACATATGCACCCCTATGTTTATCGCAGCACTATTTACAATAGCCAAGAAATGGAAGCAACCTAAGTGTCCATCAGTAGATGAACAGATAAAGAAGATGTGGTACATATACACAATGGAATACTATTCAGCCGTAAGAAAGAAACAAATCCTACCATTTGCAACAACGTGGATGGAGCTAGAGGGTATTATGCTCAGTGAAATAAGCCAGGTAGAGAAAGACAAGTACCAAATGATTTCACTCATTTGTGGAGCATAAGAACAAAGCAAAAACTGAAGGAACAAAACAGCAGCAGACTCACAGAACCCAAGAATGGACTTAACAGTTGCCAAAGGGAAAGAGCAGGGGAGGGTGGGTGAGAAGGGAGGGAGAAGGGGAATAAGGGGCATTATGATTAGCACACATAATCTGGTGGGGGGCACAGGGAAAGCAGTATAGCACAGAGAAGACAAGTAGTGACTCTATGGCATCTTACTACGCTGATGGACAGTGACTGTAATGGGGTATGTGGTGGGGACTTGATAATGGGGGGAATCTAGTAACCAACAATGTTGCTCATGTGATTGTATATTAATGATACCAAAAATTTTTTTAAATGTATGATACACTGTTTGAAACCAGTAAAAAGACAAGTCTATATATTAAGGTAAAGATGCCAATAACAAAATAAGCTGTTTTCTTAATCTTTAACATGAGAAACAAATTTAGATTTGATTACAATAAAATGAAATGAAGAGAGTGGAGGTACTTGATTCTAATCTCCATTTCTCTGAATTGCTCGCAAGGTAAAAATAAAAACACATAAATGCCCCAAATGATAGGTTGCCTCCATGAATGAATTTCTTCTTTCTTAACATAAAGAATAAGGGCTACTATTCTACTACTATTGCTTCTTTGTTTTTTCACTGTTATCTCTTTTCCAAAAAAGTATGTTTTAGATTCCTCTAAAGCAGGCCATGAAAACAACTGTTACTGAATTAAACTTTTCTCTTTTCCTTATCCCTGGATGGCATGCCACCTCCTTGATGGAGAGGAATAAAATTGCTACCGTTACCCTAATTTCCAAAGGGTTTAGGCTTTAAGAAGCCATGGATTCTATTCTATTCTCACAAAGCCCTAGAATCATGTAAAGTTTCAGTACATGCTAACCAAGTGTAATCTCAAACCCACCCCTTCCTTCTTTATGCCCATTTCCTGTACTCCCTCATGCTGCCACCACACTATGATGATTTGTTTACACGTCCATCTGCCCCCAGTGGACTGAGAGCCTAAGGCCAACTGAATATCTGTAAATGAATGATCACAGTCATTAATCCACTTAATACTTACTGAGAGGCTTCTATGTACCCACTGCTATTGTAGGCACTAGAAATTCAGCAGTGCACAAAAATCAGGGTGCATGTTTTCATGCAGCTTGCATCCTAGTGAGCAGAGACCAAAAACAAATCCAGAATAGGTCAGGTGGTATAAATGTTATGAGGAAAAATAAAGTAGGGTGGAGCAGGAGGAAGCAGTCAGACTTCTAGGAGGAGAGAAATGAAGGAAATAAGGGCTGGAGCCATGCAGACATCTGGAGTATACATAGAGAAGGTCCACAGGATAGTGACATAAGATAAAAACAACTGGCCACCCTTTTTCACTACCTTACACTGTTAGTTACCTTTTTGTAATTAGATATATTTTTTAAAGCTGATACTAAATTACACTGTAAGTGACTTGATAACAGGATATATTTTTTACAATATTTTGTATTCTGATAGTAGGAGTAAAATGTATGGATCCCCTGGCAGGTAGAAATGAAGTCAGAAATAAAAAGCATTCAGTCCCACACAGATGTAAACATCTCTATATTCAGTGTCCAGGAAACCATGAGTTGGCAGAGTTGGCAGGGGAATGTGTAGACAAATATGTACACATACATATATATATATACATAAACACATATTTTGTTGTAATAAAATCAGGCAGGGTGTCAAACAGGAGGCAAAATTCAAAAGGTAGAATTATCTAGAGTTAGAGCATTCCTCTTTTGCAGTCCTTTGCAATAAGAAGAAAAAATCCACTAAACCTTATATGGTTGTAGTTACTGGAGTTTTTTAAAATCCAGCTATCCCCCAAGAACTTTCTTTGCTCGACTTACTGTAAGATTGGGGTAAGCACCTGTCATTTTTCTTGTGGAACTTTTCATAAACATGACAAAAAATCCTCCTGAAGCAACCACAGGTTCTACTCTTTTGGCAAATGTGACCTCCCAACCTAATAACAAAAGGTCACATAAACCTTAAACTTGATCAGTATTTGGAAGAGAGGCACCTTCTTCCCTTAAGAGAAAGATCCAGACCTCAAGATGACAATTTCAGACACTATCTCCATCACCTATTAGTGGGTTTTTTAAACATTTACTGGATTAAATTGGAAGAACAAACTATTGGTTCAGATTAAGGGTAGTTTCATGAGATTTCTACTTAGAATAATTAGCTGTTGGAAATGAAACAAACTTTGTTTACATGTATTTGCAGAGTCATCTTTGTCTAAGCTGTGGGGAGACAGGAGCTGTCCTTTCTAAAAAGTCATCTTTGAACTGTTATTTCTTAAAGAGCTGATAAACTAGCTTAATAATTTCCCAAGGCCATGGGTACAGATTTCCTCATACAGTAGTTTACATGCATGTCTTAAGGAAGATCCAATAGAAGTTTCCAGTTAAAAAAAAAAAAACAACCTTCATAAAATATAGCCTCAAAATTCTTTCTTCTTACTCATGGTTCTTTTTAATCAAGTATCACATATGAGGCATGAATAGAATAGACTCAAATTTATTGCTTTTAAACAATAAGAAGAATTGCTAATTTTAAAGATTCTAACCGTCATTAATTAAACACACATCCAGCATGCTTTGGGGGCTATTCTTTTTGGGGGGCGGTGCAGGTTGATGAAAAAACCCAGGCCCACAGAAACACTGGGATGCTTCCAAAATCACATTGGTAGTCAGGAGAATTATGAATCAGTTGCTGATTTTCATTGGATGATGATGATGGTTTTTAAGATAGTCTGAGATCACATAGATCAACCTACAGATAACATTTTTAAAGACGAGAATTTTCATCACACAGCTATTTGCTCTTCAGGTCAATTATATTTAAATTAACTGTAGAATGCAATTTTTAGCCTAAATTAGTCGGTGAACAGCACTCCACTATTCTACAGTATTTTCACAATGCAAGATGGTGGAACTTAAAATTTTAACATAGGAAATAAGAGAAATATCTTACAGTGTGAAATAATAGAAAGTATATGAGACATTCATCCATTAGTAGCAGATATTACCATTTACTCAGCCTATTAATGCAAAGTACAATTCACAAACAATGCAAATATTCCTGTCTTTGTTGATCCTGCATTTGGATAGTTGTCATTCTAAATAAAGTATGATAACCTGATAATTAAATAGCATTTACTAACATCTCTGGGAAAATAACTTTGGTGAAAATAACTTTTTCATTAAAGCATGTATATTTGAACGGTTGATTTGTGCAGCTGTATGACAAAACTGGAAGACGGCTTACTACAACTGGCTCGAATGAAAGGAAACAAGAAATTGTGCAAGCATGTTGTAAGAATTACTGTATATTCTCACTTACCCAAGTCGATAGAGAATGACCAAGGTAGAGAAGGAATTTTGCAGAGGTCAGGTAGCTGGTTAAGGATTCTGCAAAGACACATGGGGGGCAAGATAAAAAGCATATTTCCTCCCTTGAGTGAGCTGAGCTTGGATTGCTTATTCATTTGCTCTTACTAAACATGATTATTAAAAACTACTTTGTGGGAAATACCATGCACAATTATTGAATTACCTAGGAATTGATGTTTACTTAATACCCCACACTTAAACACAGCATGACCTGTTGGTCAATAACCGCATAACTTCGCATACAGTGAAGAAAGCTCCTGTTTCAACATTCTTGAAACAGGCAGTCGAAACTGCCCAGTCTACTCCATCCTTGCCTGCGTGCAAGCCCCTTTTCCCACACCTTCAAATTCCTTTCTCCCTCAGCCCTTATTGAAATATGAGTCAAACGAGCTCCAAAGCATTCTGAGCTGCGTTCCTCCCGAACCTGCGTGGAGCTGCTGGCGTCCACCGCCCACCGCACGCGTTGGGTCAACTCACCCCAACATCCTCCCTGGCCGTTTTGCTTTCTTGCCCTGGTCATGACACCAGGCGCCCCCCGCTTGCTCTTCTGTCGCCGCTTCTGCAGAGGTGCTTGTTAACAGGAGTGCAAGGAACTGAAGAGAGCACCGAGGAAAACCCAGGAGCCTTGTGCCCAAAGACCCCAACAACTACTACGGCGAAGAACAAAAGAGAAAGGGCCCGGGGTCTTCTTTTGGTCTTCTTTCCAAACTTAGCTAACACTGTAGCTGAAGTTGGAAAGGCAAAGCCTTATGGAAGCGGGCGGGGGGTGCTCAGCAGGCCTTCCGATCCGAATCGGGAACCCTGTGCCGCCGCACACGCCGCCGGGGCGCTGCCGGACTCAGCTCTTATACCGGCCGGAGGAGGAGCTCGCTCCCGCCGCCGGCTCGGGGCCGCCCCCTCCCTCGCCGGGCCCCCCGGGCGTCCCAGCCCCGCGAGGCCAGGCGCTCTCCAGCCCTGCGCGGTGCCGCCCCCAACGCCCTTCCCAGGAGGAGTCACCGCCCGGGGCGCGGGCGGCCCACCAACAAGCTAAGCGCCCTTCGCCTAGCGAGCTCCACTCGCCGGCTTTCCCACCCCCTAGGAAGCCGGCAGGGAGCTCGGGAAGGCCGCGGGGCGGCGGGGAAGGCGGCGGCGGGGCGGGGCCTGCAGGGAGAGGCTGCGCGCAAAGCAGCGGGGAAGGGAAGCGCCTCGCACAGGCCACCTGGCCGTTCGGGAGAACGGGCAGGCTCCGCACGGGCGCGGTGCAAGGTTCCAGCCCGGACTCGGGGAAGAGGGTCTTTTTTTTTTTTAAACCAAAATAATTTTTAATATAGGTGTCTAAATAAATACAATCCGTGTCACAGAGGCTGCTTTCCTGGCCTTCCTATTCCGGCCTGCCTGCAGCAGAGAATATCTTTTCTTCCCAAGACTGCAAAGCAGAGCCTCCCTCAAAAGAACCAGAAATAAAGGGCAGGAGGGCCACAGAGATCAGAGTCGAGGCCTCTTGAGGGAGTAAATGGAGGCTTGGAAAGGTCAAGACCCGTGGCCAGTGAGGGACCCACCCCCAACCCAGAACACCGTTCTCCAAATGCCTCCTGGAGCTGCAGCCAGGAGGAAGCTGCCCTAGCATTTCCCTTCACCATCCTGCCTCCTCCCTCAACACCCCCTCTCGCCCTCACCTCCACCCGCGCGTCCCTTCCCCACCTCTCCAAATACCCAAGTGTCTGAATGGCAGTTTACCAGGAATACCGGTTATCCCAGTTGTGTCCCTGGGTTTGACCTTGTCCATATACAGCCATTCGGTGGCCTCCTGAAGCAGCAGGTGAATGACTCAACACCGGACTTAAGCCTTCCATGAGTTTTCTACAATCCCCACCGCGCCGCCGTGTCTGAAACCCCTTGGCCTATCAGTCCCCATTGCCTGCAAGTTACCTTACCCTTCTCAGTCTTGCCAAAACCCCAGGAGTAGATCCTACACATTGAAACTCCAACTAGATTCCACACCCTGAGCACAAGCTGGACTAACACCCAGTAGTGAAGGGAGAATCGGATGAATATATGCCCTGTATCTGGACTCTCAATCAGGAGCCCCAAGTCTGCTGGGTGGGGTGCAGCTGGATTCGTTGGGATGTGGTCTGGAGGACAGAGATAGGAGATTTACAGTTTAGCTATACTGTTTTTAATGCTTTTTTCCTTTTCAAGTCCTTTCTCTTCACTCCTGAAGGGGTTTTGCTTTTTCTTCTGAAGTTGGAGAACAGTCATGTATCCATACAATATGAGGGGCCTGAAGAGGGTGGTAACTGGTGAATTAAACCTCTCCACATTATGGCAATCTCTTACTGGAGATGGATTTTGTTGATAGGTCCTCAAGCAAAGCACAAAAGATAGATACTTTGGACATTTGCCAGAGTGTCTCTCAGCAAAAAGGATCTCTAAGTGCTTTCACATTAATTATTCTTGTCATTAGAAGTGTTGTGTTGTCCCCGACTTCCAGGTGGCCTAAAGGAAGTTCAGTTAGTTAAGAAAAAATTCACTTCTGGTCAACTGCCTAAGTGTTTGTGGGAACAGTAGTTAAGTCAACATATACCTCAAAATGTGATAAGGAGACTGTTTTCCATTGTTATCAAGTGTCCCCAGAAGCCAAAGCTAAGAGAACTTCCTTTTTGAAGATGAAAGACTACAGAGGAGAGACTACAGTGAGGCATACAGGAAAGATACCTTGGAAAGAAAACAAACAAGATCCATAACATCAAAACCAATGAGGTGTTTGAGCTTCAGCAGAGGGATCTTTAATCTGTGTTAATGGGAATGGTCAAGATATATTAGTTGGGGTTCATGAAATGGAAAGAAATTAAAAATGAAAATGAATAAAATCCTCAAAATACATTCAAAATGCAAAATGACAGTAATCTCCCATCCTTGACATTTGAGATTACAAAGCACCATGTAAATCACAAGATCTAATAGGCCCTTTCTCCTTCTGAGAAATTGACTGGTTGAAAATTAAGATGTCTTTCAAAAGTCATATGCATTTTTCCCAGAACTCAGAAAACATAACTTTCCTGTCAATGTAATCATAAGTAAGAAAGCCATGCAACTCTGAAATCAGTTCACACATACAAAAAAATTATGCTCTACAAACCATTTCCCAATTCATTTTCAAAGATTTCAAGTTTATAAATAGGTTAACTAACTTTTTAAAAATTCTAGCCAGGATAAAATGTATATTTAATTAAGAATTGTTAAGCATTTATGGTTGGGAAATAAAATGGGTTTTGTTTTTAAGCTGCTTTTTCACTTACACATCAACATCCTAAATTTCCTCTGCTGTATCTGAGATGCTCACTAGGACAAATGCAGAATAAAGAATTTCAGCACTACACTGCTCTAAAGAAAAGTAATAGGGTTATCATCAACTGTTACAGGAAGAGCCTCATGGCTTACAGGAAGAGCAGAATAGAAGACTTCCTGGATGGGTGGGAAACTCTTTAGCCTAACATACTTCTGCTGGGTGTGAAACTCTGCAGCCAAACTGAGGAGCGATAAAGCTACACTGCCACTGAAAAGCCTTTCTCTATGTTGCAGGCATATTTCAAGAACTGCTTGACATTTCTATAACCTATAACTGACTGGGCCCTTGAGAAATTTAAGTTCAGACACTTCAGTTACAGACTTCTAACGGAAAAATAAGTATCCTCCCAGGTTTTCATTTTGTTTGAATATTTCAAAGAAATTTGACTTTGCAAAGTTTCTCATGAATGCTGATTCTCATTTCTCTCTCTCTCTGGTACACTCAGTAGTCTACAGTTTCTAGTTGAGAAATTAAATGTAGAATTCTGAAGATCCCAAAAGAAATATATTTGTATGGATCTCTCTCTCTCTGGTACACTCAGTAGTCTACAGTTTCTAGTTGAGAAATTAAATGTAGAATTCTGAAGATCCCAAAAGAAATATATTTGTATGGCAAATCCATACAGACAGAAAGCATATGAGTGGTTGCCAAGGGCTAGGGCTGGGGAGGGAGAAGGAGTAGTGACTCTTTAATGGGTGTGTGGTTTCCTTCTGGGGTGATGAAAGTGTTTTGGGACTAGATAGTGGCAATAGTTGCACAACGTTGTGAATGTACTAAAAGTCACTGAAAAGTATACTTCAAAATGGCTAAAATAGTGAATGTTATGTGAAGTGTACTTCAGTTAATGAAATAAATTCCTATATGGGTATGGAAAGTTGGACATTTTTCAGTATTTCAGTAATAATGTTCATTGAGGTACTAGGTTCAACGTGGCATTAGGAGATCTCAAAAAGAAGGAGAATTTGAACAGAGGAACAGACATCTTGTCCATAATACTGGAAATTAATGTGTTTCGGTCCCAACTTTTGCCATAGGTAGTTTCTTTTGCTATCTAAGCTAACTCTCGTGTTACAGCATAACGTCCATTCTCTGATATCCTGTTTTAAGGAACACAGAAGACAGACATTAGTATCACCACAGTATTCCCTTCACATTCTCAAGACTGTGCTTGGCCTTGCCTTCCTCAAGCTACAGCAGCAGAGATGGGTTTCCCAGGCATTTCATTTTAACTGGTCTTCTTGGCACTCTTTTCAATTGCACTATTTGCTTGCAAGCCCCTCACGGGAAGACAGCCCAGAAGGACTCCCCCATCTAAGCAAAGGGCTCATATCCTCAATCTTCTGTCTCAGACACTCCAACACTGCATACCTCTTTCTAAGAGCACTTTGAAGCTGAGTTCCACTAACCTGGCCTTATGCTTATGAATGAACTTGACATTCTGAGTTCTATGCAAAAATTTCAGAGTTTCTTCATTTTCCTTTTGGGACATAGCCCCTAAGTTCAGTGCAAGAGTCCCTATTTTCTAGCTCCTTTCCAACTCCAACCTCAGTGATGTGATTGATCATTGTGTCTGCTCTTCTATTTTGTTTGATTGCTTTTTATTTCAGTTTTATTGTTACTTCCCTACTGGTTTGTTCTTCCTATCTCATAAAATGGCCAATTAAATTGACATGTAGCAACATGTCAATTTGAGTGCAGCATAGTGAAAGATATTGGTGTCTCACAGCCATAAATCCTGATTAGACTATATGCCTATTCTTGGGTCCTTGAATCTGTGCTCACACAGACCAACAGTGTAAGAAGGAAGACCCTAACACAATAAAGAAAGCCCTTAGTATGTGTCCTGGACAAAGCTCTCCTCTCTGATGTCATTAGAAAATACTCATGAATGCTGATTCTCATTTCTCTCTCTCTCTGGTACACTCAGTAGTCTACAGTTTCTAGTTGAGAAATTAAATGTAGAATTCTGAAGATCCCAAAAGAAATATATTTGTATGGATCTCTCTCTCTCTGGTACACTCAGTAGTCTACAGTTTCTAGTTGAGAAATTAAATGTAGAATTCTGAAGATCCCAAAAGAAATATATTTGTATGGAGGGTTAAAAATATAATAAGAAGGTCCCTCCAAGGATGTCTGTCCGAAATGTTTCACTGCATTGTTATCTCACTGAGCCACATATATAAAAAAGGCCCATATATTTGGAGCACTATACAAGTGCAGATATTAAACAAAGTGCTTATCCGATATTACCTCATTTCATCTTCAACACCCCTGTGAAATAATACTATTATCTCCATTGTACATGTGAAGAGACTGAGACTCAAAGAAGTGAAATAACTCACCCAAAGTCACTCAGCTAGAGAAGGGTAAAGCTGGGATTCAAGCCTAGACTTGTCTGGCTGCAAAGCCCTTGTTCTCTCTGCTTTGTTATTCTGTCACCACCTAATAAGCGTGGGACAACACAGGTGATGCCAATTAGCATAAATAGGGCTTTTCCTCCCTGATGGCTCCTGTACGGGAAGACAGCCCAGAAGGACTCCCCCATCTAAGCAAAGGGCTCATATCCTCAATCTTCTGTCTCAGACACTCCACACTTGGGGACTTGGAGCACCAGTAGAGTCTTAGAACTAAGTGTCAGTGGTGGAGGCCAATGTAAAATTAAAACTGGGGGAGGGGTGAAGTGGGAGTACTACCATCCCTTTGGTGGGGTGGGAACCACTTAATCCCAGTAGCTGTTGGAGAACTTCCATGTGGTACCTGCTGTCCAAGTCTAGCTGAAAATCCAACCCTCCTTTCAGAGCACTGTACGGCTCTAAGATGGATAAAATAACATGAAATAGGTTGGTGACAAGCTCAATTTTATATTTTTAGGTATGAAAAAGGACAAATAGGTCAAAATAAAACACTTTGGGGATTTTCTATTTTTAATTTTAGGCTAATTACTGATGAATTTTGTAATCAGCATCAAAAGTTAGGGCTTTATAAAAATGTTTTCTCAAGAATAGTCTAAAGGACTTTCTTGGCACTGTGAGGGGAAATAAGAGAATTTTAAAAGGGAGCATAATCAGCATAGATTGTATATGACGAAGGAGGCTATTCTTAACCTGTTTATAAATCAACATTAGATACATATTTATTATTAGGTATAGAAGATGGCAATTCTATGGTGCCAGAAGAAATATATTTTTGAGAATAATTTTTCATATTTAGAAAATGTTCTACCTGAAAGAGTAGTAAATTTGCATAATTATTTTCGTCTACAATGTGCTTTGATGGTTTCTTTCTTTATCCTCTAATAACTGTACAAGGTCTTTGATCATGGACCTCTTACATCAAATCAATCCCACAGGTGCATTGCCTATGTGCTTATTCTCTCTCACACATGTGAACACGTGTGTGCACACACACACACACTCACACACACAGCCTACATTTCCTTTGGAAGTAGGAAAGGTTTTGAATGATGGATTTGTTGATGAAGGGTATTATGGGTTTGGCAAGGTGACTGGGTTAAGGAGAATTTAAGGAACTGAAGGTAAAAGTGAATGAAAGAGCAAAGAGAGGGGCAACATGGTACATCAGAAATGAGCTTCTGATTAGAAATCAGGAGACAGAGTTCTATCTTTACTAATAAGCACCTTTGTGCCCTTGGATAACTTACTTTACCTCTGAGATCTGTTTCCTCAGTTGTAAATGAAAGCTTTATTTGATCTTGAGTTCAAATCCATCAAAATGGTCTGTGATTCAGTAATAGTAGGTAGCTTTAGTGGTTTTTATTTGCTTCTCAATAATCTTCTATATAATGAGCATGTATTATTTACATACTTTTATAATGAACCATACTTTTATAGTATCCAAAAGTAACAAAAACAAAGTATAGTACTAGAAACAAAAGTATTAATTCAAATTTTCTGTAGTTTTAATTCCTTCAACCACGAGAAGATTTTTAAGTCAATTTATACCACCTCAGCCTTTGAACAGAGCTAACTGTAAAATTCTCTTCAAGGCAACAGTAAAGCAAACTTTTAAAAATATAACTTGCAATAATAGTTTTTAAGAAATCTCAGTAAGTCTACCATGTATGTGGGTATTACTTCATTTAAGAAATTAGGTGTTTGTGTTCTATACTTAGTTTTGCACCTGAACTGATTACATTATTATACCTCTGGGGAATTTTGAGGTATTCATTAAGACAGCATATGATCTTTGTTTATTTCTATACAACTTTATTTATCTACTGGATCCATAGATAAATATTCATAACCTGGAAAATAATGGCACCAAGTAAGGGACCTTGGTCTGGTAACTCTTTTGGTGTTTCTGTACTTTAATTAATTAATTGCCTTTTGAAGTGTGTAACCCATCTGTTATCTGAAATGTAACAATGGGTATTTGAAGTTTTGCTTCCTGAAGAACATTACATTTACACATGAAGACTGGTTTTCAATGTACATCTAGGGGGTTGCCAAAAATATATAAAACATGCTGCTGGAACTTACTGGCAAAAATATTTTCAAGGCTATCAATCTCAAAGAAAGTGTCCTTAATCTTTCAGGTTTCACCTGAATTTGGAAGTCCAGCTTAGGCTGGCTTCAGCTTCTTCAAGAACTGTTTTCTTAGGTTTACCTCACTCTCCATCAATACGGTGAGTCTCCCTTATTCCATCCCCACCCTTTCCCTCTGATAGACAGTAACGGCCAATTACTGTGCTGTGGCAAGCCAGCATCCTATTTCTTGTGGTCATGAGGTGTGTACTTTTGTATTCTCCTGAGCATTAAGATGGTTCCATCCTTTGAAAAAAACAATAACACATCCCTAGGAAGTCACATTAGAAAACATTAATGTTTTGACTAATTTAAAACTGCAAATGAAGAACACCTAGACTACAATTATCAGTTTATGAGCATATAGGATATCATTAAAGGAGTTTAGTGATCTTCTTAGTAGCAATTACTTTAGACATGCATAATTTGTTTTCCTTTGTATGTGCAACTTATTGTCCTTTAAGGTCAAGTTCACTGATGTAAAATGATGATTGTCAGCTCTTCATACAGTGGACTGTCTGAGCTAAAGCTGAACACAAAGTTAAATGGTTTAGGGAAGGTTCACATTTGTGCCATAGGATTCTCTTCTGTCCACAAAAAAAAAGTCCCATTTTCTAAGCAGTTGACCAGCTCAAGTAAGACTGTAATCAAAGCAAATTAACTGTATTCAGCTACCTATTGTGAGCTTACACTGAGCTGGCAATTAGATATTCAAGAAATAACTCCTCACTAAAATCTCATAAATAACATTAAATTGGTGTTCATCTTTATTTCATTGTGCTATCTGGCCCCAGGGAAATCTGGCATATTTTCTCTTTCAAATTGTTGACACTTTTTAAAAAGTAAAAGTATATGACATCTCTACTGATTTCTTCTGTTCACATGTTTCAGAAACTGCTTGGTTTATCGATGCCATTTATTCCAAACTACTTTGCAAATCATAACAGTATATATTAAAAAAGGCTCCATGGTACTAATGCTCATGAAGTGCCCTAACTGCCTTTTGGTCAAATTAACTAGCTATGGTCTTCAAAGAGAAAAAGATAAAAAAAACTTACCATTGTTTTGATACCTCCAGTTCAAAATACTTTCACTTATATGGCAAACATGTCTGTAGAAAGACAGTTAACCTTATACAAATAAACCAGAAGTCCAGCCATATACGTAAACTGGCTCAACCAAAAGAGGAGTGGGTGACCATTTCTAAGGTGTTTATAAGGATTACTGGTCAAAATATCTCTCCAGTAAATTTCCCTTCAGATATAAATAAATAAACATAGTTTTATATACATACATATATGGTTTATATATACATCCAGATTAACTCTGGTTGTAAATATTGCATCAATGTTCAAATTATACTCGTGTAACTACCACCCCTTCAAGAGAGAGAAAGGAAACTTTTCTATTGGAATCTATTTGTTTTAAAATTAAAAGGGGTAAAAGATCCTTCTGATATTTCGTCTAGATTCTTTAAACTTAAATTTCACTTGCTGGCTATGCTGTTAAGAAATTAGTCTTTTGGAATTTTCTGGGTTGCAAGACAGTTACAGGAGCCCCAAGCCCCACATCCTTCTATAACCATGTTCAAAGACAGAAATAGCCAGTGGTACAGGGCAGATGGCTTCTCTCAGTACCCTGACTTGTATCAGAAAGGAAAATATTCCCCAAGAGACTCAACAGGGATTTCCCCTTACATTTCATTGGTCAGATCTGAGTCACATGCTTGCTCTTAGGCCAGAAACTGGAACCACTTTTCCTGAGATCATAGGATCTCCACCTAATATCTCACTAGGGATTCTGTTAGCAAGTAACAAGGAATAGAACAAGAATGCATTTGCCAACCTCAAACTTATTGTGGTATCAGAGTTGCCTGGAGGGCTTGATTGAAGAACTCAGTGTTCTGTTGATATTCCTTGGCTATAACTAGACTTAGAATTGGTATTTTTTATTACCAAAACTAGACCTGAATGCAGAACTAAGGAAGTGTTGTTTAATTGAGATGCCATGTATATTTCAAGAAAAAAGACTAATAAACTCTCTGAATTTTCATCAATACCTGTGATTTGCCAGCATTTCTGAAGATGTGTATTTGAATGACTTTTTACATTCATAAAGGGAATGAAATATATTCTGACAAATAGGAATAAATTAAGATCTAGACTGATTTTGAAAAGTTGTCTTTTACTGTGAGCATAAGGTTATCTTGAGTTTGTGTTTGCCATACCAATTAATGTCCACATAAACAAAACCAGGAATAAAAAAGTGAAAAATTCAAACATCTTTCTATTATCATAGAAGCTGCAGATTCTATATCTCAGATATATAGAAGGCTTCAAAAAAATACAATCCAACTTTTTGAAATTTAATTTAAATTACTTATTTATGAAAACACAAGCTTGGTCTCAAATGCTGTTTTCAGTTTAAATAAAAAAGCACAGGGTTTTAGGTAGTAGTCCTTGTGGTAGCTATGACTTAATAGGGTTTTATTGCTTTGTAAGATTCTCTGGACTATTATTAGTAAGAAAAATGTTGCAGTTTTGGATATACTGTTTTGTTAGTGATAGTGATCAAACATCAAAAACACTAAAAGTTGTTCATATCATAGTAAGATGTCTCAGAAATAGATGTCTCCTCCAAAAAAAGCACCTGTTTCCAGTAATTTTTTAATGAGCATTAGAGATTATAATTTGGTGAAAAGGGTAAAAAACATTGTCCATTCCCCACTGTAACTGAGCCTCTAAATGTATCTGTATTTACATTAAAGACTGAAATACATTAGAGTACATCTGGCTGTCAAACCAAAACACTCATCTCATCTCTATCTTTTTTTAAAAAATAGTCAATACATTAAAATTAAAGGTCGTTTACTTTTAAATATTATATGCTGTATAAGGCAACCTTAAAAATGTCTTCAGTTTTTCATGTGTAGGTTTTCTACACCTCTTATAGTATGTTCCAGGTAAAAGTGAAGTGGTAATGTAACAAGTCATCATTAACCAGTAACTTATTTTGCCATCTAGTAAATATTAAGCATTTATTTGGATGTGAAAGTGATGTTTAGGGGGTGTAAGATTTTCCTGGTAAGACTGGAGCAGTTCCACAGAATGCAGGATGGGTGGTACCCATACAGTTTCTTAGTAAATTGATTATTATAAAATCTGAAGATTTCCAAATTAATTTTCTTCTCTTCTGTTTCTCTTTTTTTTAGAACGTATTTCCCACACTATAATTTGTTGGGTGTTAAATCCTTGCAAAGATGTAAGAGAATATAATTTCTGAATCTGTGCTTGTGAAGTGAAGTTTATCTCAATCCATTTGTCAATTGAGCGTGAAAATCCCTGGCTGGCAGAGGGTTGTTTAGTTGACCAGCGGGCTAGTTTGTTTATTTTTGGTTGGTGATTTTCTTCATATTTTCAAGTATGACACAAACCCCAGGGACAGGTCCCATTGCTCATAACGTTTAAAAATGAAATCTGAGGATTGTTACGGCTTGAATTGTGCCCCCCATAAACGCTCTTTTGTTGAAGTCCTAATCCCTAGTAATCTCAGAATATTATCTTATTTGGAATAGGGTCACCGCAGGCATAATTAGTTAAGATGAAGTCATACTGGATTAGAGCACGCCCTTAATCCAGTATGACTGGTATCATTCTAAAAAGGGAAAATTTGGACACACACATGAAGAATGCCATGTAAAGATGAAGGCAGAGATCTACAAGGCAAGAAACACTGAAGATTGCTAACAAACCACCAGAAGTTAGGAGAGAGTCCTGGACAGATTCTCCCTCGTAGCCTCCAGAAAGAACTAACCCTGCTGACACTTTGATTTTGACTTCCAGCTTCTGAAACTGTGAGATAATAAACTTCTGTTATTCTAAGTGACCCAGTTTGTTGTAGTTTTTTACAGCTGCCCTAGCAAACTAATCCAACAATTACTAGTAATTAACTTTGTTTCATCAGAAAGAAATAACATTTGACTTCTCCTAAGCATTGATATTTTTCAGTATCAGACACATTCAAAGTGATTGTGACAACAGGAGCAAGCCACTCATCTCCTTACTGGCAATACTGTACAATGAAAATTCTTTAGAACCTTACTAAATTTTTGCTATCATCATGCATGCCTAATATTTATGTCACATATAGCAGAAACAGAATTACACAACATTGATACAGAGTATACATAAGCAAGTAAAAGATTATTACATCCAATAATCAAAATAAATTTCACCATTAAAACGGGAGAGCTAAACCTTTTCATATGCAAAAAACATGAAATCCCATATATCCAAGATGAACAAGGTATGATTTTATTAATGACCCATAACTTTAAAAATAGAAGTGGTTGAATTATTTTAAGGGTTTTTCTTACCCTCTTCATAAAATCAATAAGGACAAATTCCAGTTTTCTTTCCCCTCTCTGGGTTAGAGATTTAAATATAATGTAAAACAGTGTGTGGTCGTTTGGCAGATGATTTGGAGCTCCAAAGTAGTTAATGATATTCTAAAATCTAGACCTAAGCCAAGAAATATCTGAAATAATCTTAGAGCATGGGAAGCCTCTCTAGGGAGATTAAACCCTACTTGGAAAGAGGTGGTCTCTACTGAAGGGAGACAGAGAGGTTGTCATCACCATCCAAGGGAAAGAACAGAACTACCTGACAGGTGGCTCCAGAAAGATCACAACAGCTGATAATAAGAAGCATTGATTTTGCCACACTTACTTGAAAAATCTTGTAGAGCCATCCAATTCACTTTCCTTTCATTTAATTCTCACCAAGTATTTATTAATGTAATATCATAGATCGCATGGTGCTTGATAGAGAAAGTATAAGGAGTATTCTTTTCCCTGGAAAGAAATATGCCTTTCTATAAATTAAAACAACCAGTATCCCTTGAGTTTATCCACTCTGATCTGGTTATAATAATAATAATAAATAATAGCTGACACAGTGCATGTGCTATGTGCTGACACTCTTCCATATACTGTACATATACTAATTAATTTAATTCTCACAGTAAACCACATGAAGTAAACATGATCATTATAACCACTTTATAGACAAAGAAATTAAGATTTATACTTTTAGGGAAGTATTTTGCTGAGTTACTATGCCCAGATGATAAGAAACTAAAACCTTGACTAGTAATGATCCCCTAATGTACTCTTCCATTTTCTACCTGGCTTGAAATAGACGGCCCCACCAGTCACATTACCATAAAGGTAGTGCTGGCACTCTCTCACAACACTGTATACAGCTCAGTTCTCTCTTGAGAATTAAAATAGAAGCAGTAAAGATTTGCAAACAAAATCTATTATATCTTCTCAGATCAACTATGAGTAAGTGATTCTCTAAATTGTCATCTACCTAGCATCCACAGAATATAGATAGTATGAAATAGCATGAATATGTAGTGTGTAGAGATTATGTATAATTTGTGTTCACACCATTACATTACTGGTTTAGAAGTAGTATTGTATACCTAAGATGTCAGTTTTGTGTAAGGGCAAATTTCTTTTGCAAGTAGTAGATAATTCGATTGCAAGTAATTAAACCTTGCCCCACAGTGTAGTAAGAGCCTTCATGCTTTCCATGGAATCACCATAATTCTTCAAGATGTATGACTAAAAGTTAAATTTTAGGTACCTGCTTTTTTTTCACAATTCCCCAGATCTTTACTAGATGAACCGAAAATAAACACTAACAAAGTATAGGCACAGAACAATTCCCTACAGTTAACTTATATCTTTGACCAACAAGACTTATTTAAATTTTCTTACTTCCATCAGAATAAGATTTTTTAGGAGCTAAGACTATGGAAGTGGGCCTCAAGTATTCAGTTATATAATTAATGTTAAAGAAATAAACACAAATTAATCGAAGTAGACAGCAATGAAACAAGAGGTAAACTGAGGAAAATGTGAGGCATGGCTTAACTATCTCTGTACAAAGATGTCTTTTACCCCATAAACCCTGAGGCAACCAAAGATGTGGGAGAAGAGAGGGGAGTAACCAGTGCCTCACTGGAGCTTGGGTGGGGTAGAAAGCTGCCTTCCACAGGTTATGAGCAGAGCTGGGGGAAGGCACATCTTTCTTGTCAGTCAGCACTCATTTATGCAGCTCCTACCAGGTTAGGCACTCTCCAAGATGTGGAAATACGGAAGTAAGCAGAAAAGACAAGATGACAACCCTGGTGAGGCTTACATCCACTATGACAATGTCACAATTTGAGATATTAATCCCTTACACTACTGGAGAAGAAAAGTTGTGGATGGGTGAATAGAGAATTGACATCTCCTAAGCACACACTGTGTGTGATGCCCTGGACCTTCCCTCAGACCTTCTTGCAGGCAACTGACTTGTGCATCCAACAGACAAGACTTTGAAAGCTACTAAAAAATCCTGATCTCCCCTGCTTTGGATCCTAAAAAGACAAGACGACATGGACTATAATCAGTAGTCTATTAAAATAACAATCACAGAAACACTTAGAATCATCAAACTGGGATATCATGGAAGACATTCAAGAAATATTATTAGAATGAATGCATGATTGATAACTTTTTTAAACTGTCAAAAATCATTCATTACTTAATATTTATTGCATGATGTGAAGTTATTTGATACTGCATAAGTGTGTTTCCCTCTTAAAGGGAACAATACCTGGATATTGCCTAAAGATAGAAAATATTTAGAGAATTAAGGTAGAATGAGGGGCTATTTTAAGCAAGCACTCCAGTTTCTTACATCCATGAGAATTCTTTATTCAAACAAAAACATGAAGTCACAAGAGGTCCTTTACTTGAACAACACCATATTATCATAGAATCCACTGGTGGCTATGATATTGAGAACCCAAGAAATAAACAATGGAAATGGTTCTTTTTCTGAACTCAAAGGATACAACTTTGAGCAGCAGAAGTAAAGAGGAAGAATTTAGTTTGCTTGGTGAAAATGAAAGAAATTGGCCAGCGGATTTGCCTTCTAACTGGAGTAAGTAAGCCATTTCTAGACAGGAACAGTATCAAGAAACTTTTTTGATTGGCTAGATAATTTCATTGGAAGAAATTCAATGTCGAGGCAAAAAAAAATGTAGTTGCATAGTCTTCATCAAATATGAAGAATACTCAAATATAGTGTAAGTTTTTGGCTAAAGAATGTGAATAAATGCTAATTGTTCCCATTATTGGTAGTAGTATAAATTGTTTCTTTCCACATCCTCGTGGTATTATTTTCCTGTTTAATTATTTCCTTATGGCTAGGGAAAAAGATTTTAATTATCTCTATTTAGAGTAAAAATTTTAATTAACTTCCCTAACAAACATGGGATGGGGGAAACCTGATAGCAAGTCATCTGATGGGAATGAAGGGAATAATCTCTATTTAGCTGGTGTTTCTTTAGACCAAAGATGCTGGTTATCCCCAACGTTAGGTAGAGAGAAAGGAGGGGATAAGCAAGAGCCCAAGACATGGAAAATGGGCAGCTTCTGTATTTTAAATTCTGAGCTTCACTGGAAAGCTTCATTATTTTATCTGAATTATTGCAAATTTCTGCACCCACATTAAAATATAGGTCCAAACACATTTGAGACCGGTAACCATATAATCATCTCTTAGTTATCCCTTCCAATAGAAAACAGTGATAAAGGTAACCCAAATACCTTTTGTTGGACACTGTTTTGCTCTGAATTTAATGTTTTTTTAAATTGAGGTATAACTGACATACAATATTATATTAGTTTCAGGTGCACAACATAATGATTTGATATTTATATATACTGTGAAATGATCACCACAATAAGTCTAGTTAACCTTCATCACCAAACATAGTTACAGAATTGTTTCTTGTGATGAGAACTTTAAAGGTTCTAATCTCTTAGCAACTTTCAAATATACAATATTCTTAACTACAGTTTTCATACTGTACATTATGTCCCTATGACTTATTTATTCTACAAATAGAAGTTTGTACCTTTTGACTTCCTTCACCCATTTTGCCCCACCCTCACCCCTGCCTCTGTCAACCACCAATCTGTTCCAAATATCTTTTTGAAAACCATTTTAATTGGGCTATGGATATAGTGTAATATTAACATATAATATGAAAAGTTGATGAGTAGTAAGAATTACTACCTTGGAATTATTGTTAGTAGCTGTCTCTCTCATTCTTTTGAGAAACGTATGCCCAGTGTTGATGAAACTGAAAAGACATAACACATCCCTAGGAATAAATTAAGGCCTGAGAAATTATCTATGCAAGTTGGGAAGTGTTCATTTCTAAGGTCTTTTCCAGTCTAACATTTAGGAACCTGTGTCTAGAAGACAAAGAACTTAACAGGCGATCCATGGATTAACCATCACACAAAAAAAGAAAAGTAGTTTTCTCAGAGCCTTTGATCTTCAAAATCAGAAATAAACATAAAAAAAATTAAAAGAGGAAGCCAAACGGGAGTAATCCAGGTAGCATGAACCAACTGGCTTAAAACCAACTGACTCAAGAGCAGAGGAACATTAGAAGAAAATAAATTTTAAAAGAATGGTATAGTGTATTTGATTTGTTAATAACTTAATGTTTGAAAACTTCTGAAAGGAAATTTCCGTACAGTCACATAAAAAAAGTCATGGTCCCACCCAGATATCCATGCACAATTGTGTTTTTAGTATATGATATGCAAACAGTATAAGCAAGTCTAGTTCTGAGAAATATTTCTCAGCTTGAAAACATAATTGTCATGAAACATATATTTCACAGCAAATTCCCAGGCTGGAGCTAGCATAAAACCCAACAGGCTACTGCCGCATACAGAATAACATGTGTGCAGCTAAGGACGACCAAGTGAACACAAGCAGAACTAGGTATTATTCATCTTGGGAAACCTG